CGTGGCCCTCGTTCTGGTGCTGGTGGTGGTGGTGCCGTCGGTGGCGGCGGCGGTGGAGGCGATGGAGCTCCTGGTAGCAGTAGCATGAGGTACAACGATATGGCGCCCACGTAAGTGTCCAGCAACAAGGTGCTGGAGTTGATGCTTGCCAAAAATCACACAAATCTTCATCTTTACATCGAAACACACACAAATAGCGCGCTCAGCCTGAAAAAACTACATACATCCACATAGATCCATCCACTGCCTAAATCGCTAATTGTTGAATTATTTTATTTAATTTAATTTAGCGCCAAAGTTGTGTCTAAGAATACGCGTCCAAAGGCATTGGTGGCAGATGGCTTCTTTTAGGGACGAACGGTTCGGTTTCTTTTTGGTAATTTGCGTTGGAAATCCAAGGTTCACTCGATGTTCGTTCGAGGCGCAAGCGCTTCTGTCTCTGTATGTTGACTGTAGACTGGACGGACGTACCTACTACCTTGGACATTTGTTTCCTGTTTCCCTGGCACGCAGTTTGTTTTTCCGCTTTTAATAACTATGAAGTGGAGAATCCACCCAACTTCCTGAGCAGTCAAAAATAGTACAGCAATACTGCAATATGTCACCTGTACTATGTATGGAGGAGGACTCATTCGTTGTTATACAATTTCCGACATACCCTGTTGAAAATGTTGTACTGATGCCAACAGAGACCACGTCACCGCTTATCCTAATGCCATCCGGATTGTTGGTCCCCAGTCCAAAAAATACTTACTGGACTTGGTATCACATTCGCGATCACCGCTTTTTTCTTCCATGCCCATCTGTGTTAGCCCCGTGTGGGGTGCAAACGGCTGCTATTCCGTGACTAATCCGTGACTAATTTAATGTTTCGCCTTTATTTGTTTGTGTTGTGCGTGAGTCGTCGCCGTTTCCATTTGCATATTTAATATTCCTTTTTAATGATTCGTAGATTTTTAGCCATTTTAATTAAATGTTTCCATTGGAATCCACAGGCACTGGGACCACGAACCGCCCCGCTATCACAACCCACCAGCTGCTCCTCCATCCTCTGAATACGAACGCCCACCGCCATACTACTATCCGGGCGCCTCCGAGCAGGACTAGGCGTGGCAGCAGATGGAAGGAGAAGAAAATACATGGCGACGCCACAAGGTGTGAATGCAGGAGTTTTGGTCGGGACAGCCTTATAGAAGTGGCGGCAACATGCAAAATTTTTAATTGATTTGAAGAACTTCTTCGCTCTTTCCTCTCCCCTTCCCCACGTTACTGAGACTGTCATTTTAGTTAACAATTTGAAACAACAAAAACAAAACAAAACAAATAAGTAAAATTATATAATTTGATTAAGGATTATTGTATTTACGTAGCATCACATGTGTTATAGTTTTGGCCCCGCCCGACCAGTCGAGACCAGAGAGACAGAATGCCAAGGCAAAATTAAAAGCGTTTAGAAGAGCAGAATGTGTTCGCAGAGTACTTTGAAAATGTGGCCAAAGTGAAGATCTGGAAGTTAGCCGAATTCGATGATGATTGTCACAGTCGAAGCATTTAATCTCACCCAAAATAAATAAGGCTAGGGCTAGAGCAGCAGGCAGTCTGAATTTTGTGCCTGGCTGCGAGGCTGGCAGAATTTTTTAAGGAATCTCATAATTTTACTATGCACACTGAGAGAGGCCGGCAAGAGGTACCAAAAATCTCCCCCCTGATTGGGGAAATGGCTAATTTCCGGTAAATCAAAATCCAAGAAAAACAACATCAAAAACAAAATATGAAACAAAGTGAATACTGCCATTTTAATTTAGAGCGAGCAGCACGAAAAAGTCGAGAAATATATATTCAATGCATTTAATGTATTTGTTTCAGAAAAAACACACAACAAACAATAACAGCAGAAACAACTGCGAAAGCATATTTATGTTTTATGCGAACTGACGGAAATATGCACACTCGCACTCACACTGACACTTGCACACTCAAATACCAATAATATATGTATGTATGTAGTAGATTCCGATACAAATTGCAGATACATATTAAGCATATTATACAGATACACGAATGTAATACACGTATTTGATCACGTTGTCATAGTTTAGTAAGAGAAAACCAAAAGTAAAAACCAGCCCTAAAGCATTTAAATGTTTGCAATTGTATTAGAATCTAACGCGATCTGTAAGTTTCCAAAAAATATAAACAATATATTGTATGTGCTTACACCACACAACAAATATACACAATATACACAACAACACACACTCACACTGGTATATGTATTGAGTACATAAATTACATTAAATAATTTTAGTATTATACGAATAAGTACGTACCACGTACATATATACATACTTATGTATGTATGTGTCTGTATGTTGTATTTTATATTTGACGTACATTAAATTAAATGATTTTTGCTTAAGTCAAAACTAACCACGTATCAAATATTGCCGTGCGCAAGTAAAGTAAAACATACTCGTATACCGACTAAGATCGATCCACGAAAGTGATTTACCCAATCCCCCAAAAACCCAATACCCAATCTCCAATTCCCCAGTTGCCAGGCTATCATCGAACCTCGTTGATGTTTGCCTTTGTCGTTTACATAACTTTGCCAATAAATTTCAAATGGTTTTATGTATGTAGATAATGGTTCTGTCGCTTTTTACTGCACTTGCGGGAGCGGGCTTTTATCATTTTGCAAATGCAAATCTTTATGGTGGATACCAGAGATTTGCACACCGCAGGACCATTCCATTTGATGTCCTATATGCATGTGCCATGTGTCTTCGTGATCGGCAGAATGTTCTCAATCGTACGCAGTCAGTTTGCTGGTTTTTATCGATTTTTACCAACAAACCTGTAACCCCACGGTAGTTTTCTACATGATTTCTCTTTGCATTCGAAAAACGTACAGCGCCCAAAAGTATTTCACGCTTTTTATCTCACCTGGGTATACAGCACACACTACCTACTCACCTTCCACTGGTAACTGCTGGATCCGAGATCTGTATATCTGTTGAGAGAATGTTGAGCTTCTGCCTGACACATCGCCACGTACAATCGCTGAAGCTGACACCGACACGGAGCAATTAGCAGCCACATGACTAAAGTCAAATTTATTTTTTGGGCTTCTTGTTTACCCAAAATACTCGTACACGTAAATATTGGATGGAATGGAATGGGATGTGTGCGTGGGCGGAGGAATGGGAATGCCCCAAACGGCGGCAAATAGGTAAAACAATTGTTCAACTTGGCCACTGATTAGCCATTAAGCAGACCTTAGGCCGAGGCCAGACAGTGCACTTGGAATAGATAAATATATGAGTACATGGGAACAATTAGATGGCTTTAGCTGTCCAAGATCTGAACGTCGGTTGCGTTTTGCGGTTGTCCACCATAATCATGGGCACTCGAAGGCTTTCGACCTGAAGGTGACATTAAATTGGACACGATATATGCATGTTCTAAAAAATATAAAAATTTAATTCTAGAGTGTAATTTCTTACGGAAAGGTTTGCTAAAATAAGAACTGATCTCTGAAAATTATACATTTTATCAACCAAAATATATTCCCATCGAACATTTTACTTGCAGCTGTTGAGAACTTTATTTGCATGCTGTTTTTCAGTCAGCCACTATCTCATTAACATCCTAATGGAATATGTAAATTATGTCAAGATCATTAAATGGGTGGAATGTGAGTAAAACTAATTAAACTTAAACCATACTTGGGGGAGTACACGATTGAAACTGCCTGAAATATGATTAATATAACATATTTATAACCATGTTTGTTGTGTCCCCAATGTGAACTTTTGAAAAATCGCAACAGAATAGTCCACAAAATTTTGGTTGTTGTTTTCGAGTATTTCTGAATAATCATTTTAAGTGCTACAATTTAACGCCTTTGACGCCTGTCACCTTCGGTGAGCTCAACGAGGCTTTCCCCCCACCCTCATGTACATTAATCACATCGAAAAATACGACTAAATTGACTTGCTTATAATCCTATTAAGAATTCTATTCTACGTAATATTAATGGCGCCTTGAGCAATTGATCCATTTGAAACGCGAACCCAGCGGCAATTTTGTGAAATATGATTTTGGATGGCATATGGGGAAATTGATTTTATGGCATCTATAAAAACGCAAAAGGTTCCCACAGCGAGTGTACAAAATGCAAAATCAACAGCCAGTGTAATTGTTTTTCATTTTTTATTATTTATATGTATTTTTTGTCATAGCAGTTGTCAAACAGTTTGTGGGAACTGGTGGCACGGGTTGGGGATGGGGACCTCGCCTGAGTTAGTGTTAACACAGCCATAAAAGTGCTAAACAACCCAACAATTTTGCCAGAGAAAAACCGAAATAAATTGAGCATTTTGCAGCATTGCCTATAGGCAGCTTACTTTGACCTTAGCTTTACAAAATTACTTCACTTCACTCAACTCAACTCGAAACTGTTTGGGAAACCAATTTGTTGGGGCTAACAACAAAATTAAGCTGCTAATTGCTGAAGGTTGCACTCGTCAGGCGGCAATTCAATACAATCCATACAGTAAAACTAAACAGAGATTGAAATTTCGAAAAAGATTTGTATCAGAAGTTACGTTCTGGAGCAACAAAATGTTCCTTAAATTCAGGAAAGTACATTTTATCGCAAAATGTTTTCCCACCCTCCCCCAAAACGGAACAAAGAGTAGAGCTGTGCGGGCAGACCGATCCGATCCGATCCGAAGCGAAGCGACGCCAAAGCCGTAGCCGAAGTATTTGCGGTTTGTAAGCTCGCTCCCTCCCTCCCTATTGGGGGCCGCTCTCTGTCTCTCTGTCTCTCTGTTTCGGTTTCTGTTTCTGCTTTTGCCTCTCGCTTTAGCACCTGCAATGCAAAAGCCCCCGAAAATCGTCAGCTCCGGCTCACATTGTTGTAATACACAGAGACGACAGCCCCAACAACGAAACTCTTTGTGAGCGAAACTAATAAAAAACCGATCGCCCGAACTGTTCCCACTACCAGTTTCAAGTGAACGCTCGTGCCGTGGAGTCGAGCTCGTCCCCTCTTACACATATCTGTCACCGTCCCCATATAGTATAAGCTCAGTTTCCACAGCACCGATATCCAGTGGAAATATACAAAACAAATCAACGAAAAAGTGAGTTTAGCTATGCACAAAGTGTCCCGAGAACTTTGATTCCGCTGTGAGAATTGGATGCGGAAAGGATAATGCTACGACTCCTATCTGATCCGGGACTGTGTCTGTGACGTAACTTGAAAAGTAAAGTCGAAAGCGAAACGAGAAAAAAAGCCGTTTGCCATGAGAGAACTGCAATTGACAATACGACACCAGCAGCAACAAAAACAACAACAACACCAGCAGCAGCAGCAACAATCGCATAAAAACTCAATAACAATTATCAAGTGAGCCTCGGTAGCGGCGAATGCAAGAAACCTGTATGGAAAAATGTTTAATAAAAATAAATATAAGAAATGTGTACAACAAATAAACATTCAATAATAAACTTGCATAAAGCTGTACGTACCTGCATAATGCAGTGCCTAGGAGCTGCAATAATCTTATCCAAATAAAACAACTAAAAGTTTCAAAAAACAAATATTAAGACACGCGAAACAGCTGCTTTGATTAACTAAAATATTACAAAATCACAACTCACGGATCGCAAAACAAATATGTGCACAAAAAAGTAGAAAGTAAAACCAATAATGGCCTCACGAACTTAGCATACCCTTGAAACCCAAACAGAAACACAAATAAAAATTACATGCCATTCGAAATAGCAATGTACAAAGCTCTAAAACAATTAAATTTACTTCCTCTGGCAGAGCAAAATAATATTTAAAACTAATTTCCATAACTTTTTCTTGATCTTTTGTAGCCCTGCCTCCGGTCCGTGTCGAGTGTCCATTCCATTCCCAAGAGTTTTTGTGCAGTCAAGTACAACCGAAAATAGTTTTTTTTTCTCTCTTTCGGTTGGTCTCTCTCTCTCTCTCTGTGTGGCTCGCGCCCCGCCTCGAGCTTTGTTTGTTTAAACAATTAATAGGCAATTTACATAGGTAGAAACTGTAAAAGGAAAACCGCCAAAATTGGTTACCTAACGAAAACTTCGTTTGTGCTACGGGAAGGCAACAAAGTAAGTAAATTACGCTTATGTTTGGGAATAGCTTTAAGAAAATGGATTTAAAATCAAAGAAGGTTGCCTATAGAAATAGTCTTAGTGATATTTATAGAAAGGGAAACAATGGAAGATATCCATGGGTATTCCTTGACCCTCATCTTTCATTCTACAACATTTTCCGATGGTAAAACCCGAACTAAAAGTGTTCTATTATAATGTGTAGCACGTAGAACTGGACAATTAACATACAAGTAATTGTTTGTTTTTTTTTGTGGTTTAGAAGCAGGAGATATAAGTACGAATATTGTACAACGCCCCATCATTAATGGCGACTTTCAGATGACTCGCCTGTCATCCCAGGCACGATTCTCTCCACATGCTGCAAATCTGCTGGCGATAATAGCGACTAATAACAAATGCGAGTACGAGTACTACTCATAGAGAATATTCAGACAGTGTGAGAACATTTTCTTAATCACTCCGCAATTACCTGACGAACTCTCGTGTGGGGGGACTCACTGGGGCTTTGAGAATAATACTCGAAATGAGATGTCGTTTATTGGATAGCAATCGCTCGACCTGCAATTACACGTACTTTTAATTTGCGTTTAGAACATCGCAGCAGCAGCCAAAATGATTCAGAGATCCGCACGAGGCTTTCTGGGAGCATCATAAATAAGCTACTCTAATTAGCCAACAAATTTGGACTGCGACAGGGTATTACTTTGATTAATTTTAGAGCCTTGTCGCGCGGCTAATTGCCGGGGGGTATTCGTCATGGAATCGCCTCTAAAGTAAACCTTTAAAGCGAGCCACCGCCACCGCTGTAAGCAACCGCCAAGTGGTGGCGGCTCTCCGAAAGTCATAACTGACAAAACCCACAAAACGTTAACAGCAAGCGCCATAATGAACGGTTGTCTAGCGCATTGCGTTGGTTTCGACGACGCGCCAACTCGAAAGTGGGTCATGGTTAAGTGTACTTCGGTTGCGTCTCTGTCGCGGAGCAGACACTGCGGGAGCTGGAGCTGGAGCTGCGCATGCGCATGAGGAAACTATAGACAGACGCAGCATTAGTTACTGTTTGTTTGGAAGATAACAATACATAATTTAATCACATATTCTTATACCATTTAGAGCCGCCTCGCCATCAAGAACATATCCTCTGCATATCCTACCCATTCCAACTCATTTGCAACATCATCCATTGTTCACATCGGATTCTAAGGCAAAAGTAAACCCATCTAAAGTTATTCTTTCGAATAGAATTTAAAGTACCAATTGTTTATCCTTTACAGGACGACGACATGGGCTTCAGTTCGCGCATGGACTGCTGCGGGCAGTTCGTCAAGTACAGTCTTTTCATAGCAAATTTTGTTATTTTCGTAAGTATACTTGGAAACTCTTTTTACAAAAACAAAGTGTTAATTTATTTCATTATTCTTAGGTGGGTGGCGCAATTGTCTTTTGCCTGACACTGTGGACGCTGGTGGATCGGAGTTTTGTCAATGAGTTGCTGGGCACGAATTTATTTTCAGGCGCCGTCTACGTCCTGCTGGTTACATCGGTCATCATTTGTCTGGTCTCGTTTCTGGGCTGTGTGGGTGCCGGCAAGGAAGTTAAATGTCTGCTACTAACGGTGGGTAATATTCTTAGCAAAGAGCATAAGGAAAGCTCCCTTCCTTAGCTTTCCCTTGTGTGGTATTAAGCAACTTACACACACATTTAACATCCAATTGAAACATGTCTCACTTGCTGTACATTTCTCAGTATTTCATAATCGTTGCTCTGGTTTTCGTCACTATGCTAATTGGCGGCGTCTTGGGCTATGTGTTCCGCGAGCGGGTGCAGCAGACCATGCGACAGGTAAGGCGTCAGATCAATGCATCGATCAAGTGCACTCGTATGTAACATCTTGCGTTTTCCATTTTCCCATTTTCCATTTTCCGCAGGAAATGCGCTCTACCATGGCCCTGTATGGCAGCCGACGTGAGATTACCCAGGCCTGGGATCTCACCCAGGAGCGACTGCAGTGCTGCGGCGTGGACACGTGGCACGACTGGACTCGCTATGGACCCGTGCCCGAGTCCTGTTGCCAGGAGCTGTTCGGCGGACAGCGCAAGGAGTGCACCATCTTCCCAACAGTCACGAACCTGTACAATCAGGGCTGTCTCTACGTGACGACCAACTTCATACGGGATCATGCAGCAGTCATTGGTGCCTCCTCCATATCGGTGGCCATTCTCATGGTGAGCCAAACTAATAAAGGATGCCATGACTTTGATTTATAAATGTTAAATCCTCTCGTTTCCAGATCTTTGGCATGATATTCTCTTGTCTTCTATTCAACATGATTGAATAGCGCCAAAGAGTTGGGCAAGCACCTGCCCCCAGTCCGAAGGAGGAGACACATTTTTGAATAGAGTTATTCTAGGAGTATTATCCGCTATGTTGGACACTGCATTCCACCTGCATTCCGTTTGTATATACCCAGAGCTTAGATACGCACATATCTAGTGAAGTGAATTGAGTATTACATGTGGTAATCGTCGATACGAGTATTGTTATCATCTGTTGCACTATTTTGTATTATTTTGTATGTAAAAATCTACTTTAGATTTAGTTTTAAGCAGTCCAACTAAAATATTAAAATGCAAATGTTACAATGTTGCCCATGGAGCATTTAATTGTTTGCGTCAATTGTCGTTTCCAATAAAAGTTAGTGGAAAATATTTAATTGATTGTGACAAATGTTCTTTTAATTCAATGGACTTGATGGACCACCAACGGAGGTGTTACTTTTACAATGCTTATAAATATCATACTCCACTTATAAGAGATTAAGAGATTTACTCTAACCGCAGCTGGAAAATTGTTAGCAATGTTTTTAATTAAAATCACATAAACCATTGAAAAGAATGTTTGATTAGCGACAGCAGCTCAATGAATTTGGTAAGCCTTATATTTACAGAGGCTTTAGCCAGCGGCAGTGAAAGACACAATTTTCCGGCACGACTTGCTCGTTTGAATATAAGATATAATCTAACTACAAAACTATGAGATAAAGCGCAGTACTTATCAGCGTTCTTCCAAATAAGAACTCCACTGATACTCTGCAGCTGGTGGGGAGTGTAGTAACATGTGATTTATTTTTAATTTTTCTTAAATTTTTTTACATTTTTATAAACCAAATTAATAAAACGGCTTGCATACTTTTAGGTGAATCGTAACTAAACTATTATTGTTAATATCTTATTCGACAGTTGAATATTTTCAGCTTATTCAACCAACAAATAATTTATAGATTCATGAATTTTTACGTTTAGGTTATCTTTTTATACATTGCTGACTCAAGGGCCTTAAAATTAGTTCAAATCATAATTAAATCAACAATATTCGCATTTACAAAATATACAAAAGAAAAATGTTGTATTTATTTTTATTACGTATAAAAATCACTAAAAAGTTAAGCCATAATTTAACTAAAACTCAATATAGTTTAATATTCACAGGGCCGAGAAAATTTAAGAGGCAGACACAAAGCCATCTCAGCGAAGGCAAAGTGAGGGAGTCACTGGAGCCAGTCGACGTGTTGTTCCACCATTCCCAGTTGCCGCCGTGAAGCGCCGGATCGGCGCGTTTGTCCGCTATGGGAACTCTGGCACTGGGCAATGCCGTCAGACGGAGCTCTTCCACATCCTCGGCGAGCAACTGCAGCTGGAGGGGATAGAGTTTGGCCAGGTTGTAGCGCTCACACGGGTCATTGGCCAGGTCGAAGAGGCAGGCAGCCTTGAGGGGCTCGCACAGGTAAATGGGATCGTCTTGATCCGCCTCCTGGATGGGGCACCGCTGGGTAGCCTCGTCTCGCATCTGCCGGATGCGATCTTCAGTCGGACCTCCATTTCCCAGGACAGCCTGCACCTCCGATGCTCGCACCAGCTGTGCGTAGTCCGCACTTAATGGATGCTCTTCGCCGGCATGCAGTTCTCCCAGCCAGTGGTCGTACCGCCCTTCGAAGCTGCTGCCGTTCACGTACTTGAGCGTGTATGCCGTGTACGAAGAGTAGCCAAAGACATCGTCCAGCACGTGCAACAGCTTCCGGGGCTGGGGCTCTGTGCCGCCGCTAAGCGACGGCCACAGATTGAGTCCGTCCAGCTTGAGGTCCGTTGGCAGCTGCACTCCGGCTGCTGCCGCTAGGGTAGGCAGCCAGTCGATGGCATGGATCGTCTGGTTGGACACGTAGCCACGCTGCTGCAGCAACGGACTCCAGAGAGCACCAACCGATCGAATGCCACCCTCCCAGGGGGATTCCTTTTGCTGCTCGAAGGGAGATGCTTATAAGCCAGCAAAAGAGGGTGATGCATGACAGATACTTACGCCACGGAAGGGATAGTTGGAGCCAGCATTGGAGTGAATCCCCACAGTGGGCGCTCCATTGTCCGAGTAGAGCAGAACGATGCTGTTGTTCAGCATCCCATTGTCCGCCAGGGCACGCATCGTCTGACCAACGCTCTTGTCCAGACTCGAAATCATTCCTAACCAGCGGACACTGTCAATTCAGAGACATTTTCTGATTGGGAGGACAAGACTCACCCGCATAAGTGCGACGCTTTGGATCCTGAATGTGCGCAAACTTGGCCACCTCCTCCTCGGGCGCCTGCATGGGATTGTCCTCGTTGCCCGTGTGCACTGCCAGGTGGCTGAGCACCATGAAGAGTGGACGGCTCTTGTCGTGCCGCTCGATCACCTTCCTGGCCTCTGTCGTAAAGGCTTCCGTGGCATAGATGCCCTCTGCCTCGGGGCAGGGCTCCAGGTCCCGCCTGAAGTCCAGACCCGTCGAGTAGTTCCTGTCCAGCAGCCGCACCGTATGATCATAGTAGTCCATGTAGCCATTGTAGTACCCAAAGTGATGGTCAAATCCGCGCATCGTTGGGGTTAGATCCTTGCGCCAGAAACCCAGATGCCACTTGCCCACCAGATGTGTGGCATAGCCGGCATCGCGGAAGAACTCCGGCATGAGCCGCTCCTGCCTGGGCAGACCCCAGGGCTCGTCGGTGACGATCACAAAATGCTGCATTCCTGTGTGGATGGGATACTTTCCGGTCAGCAGAGTGGCTCTGGAGGGTGTACACAGATTGGGCACATAGTGTCGATTCAGCAGGACACCATTGTAGGCCAGAGCATCTATATTTGGTGTCAGGATTTGGTTCGAGCCATGGAAGCTCACATCATTGAAACCCTACAAAGGGGCAAAGCCACACAGTGACTCAAAATTGTCTGCAATCGTTTGTGCACTTACCATATCATCAATCAGTATGATTATGATATTTGGCTTATCTCCAAGACACAAACTGATTCCAGCACTTAGTAGGAGTAGCACATGGAGTAGCACAGTCATGTTTGTGATCAGTTCTAGTGAAATTTTACTCTAAAATAGAGCTGCAAAGAGCTTATTGTTACTTGTCTTAACTATAATAATGCAACAGAAAACAGCTGTGGAACTTCATCCTCGTACAGGTGTTCCATTTCTCATCCACTGACCTCTTCCAGCCTCGTGTTGTGTGGGCCAACAAGTTCGTTAAACCATTGAAGCGATTGTTTAATGTTGTATTTTTTGCAACAATTGTTAAGCAATTATATAAAAAACACGACACGGTACGGCACGGCACTTCACCTTGCCTTGGTTATGGGCTTTGGGGAAGCGTAATTTCTTTTTATCTGGATAAAAATGGCCTTTAATTGTCGCAATATCCCATAAACCATCATAAACCAGCATGGCAATAATGAAATGTGGCCCATAGGCCTTATATGCTAAGCCCCAATTAAATGCTCGTGAGTACAGTGAGTCGCATTTGCATTTGGTATATAATTTGGATAGGAATCTATTGTAAACTGTCGTGCGAAATTCTTTGAGAAATTTCAGTCACGACCTGCACGGCTTTAGACTGAGAATGGAAACGCCCAGCGACTGACTGACCGAGCGACCTTCGACGATCGTTGGACAACTACTTTGTGGCCATGGGGATCTGTGGGGGAATCAGGACGGACCAGTTAATCAGCCATCAATGGAAAGGTTCTTATAGCTTAGTGCCCGTCATTCGCTAGGCTAATCCAAAACAGGTTTGGGATGCATCTACAGGGCACAGGGGTCCGGTGTCTGGCTCTCAGAGGACTTGGGAATGTGCCAGTGCGGGTGCAGCCAGCACTCACGTTAGTGAGGCGATTACAATGCAACATAACAATATTGCCCAATCTTTTGGCCTTATGCAAGAGCCCAATCATGAGATTATATAAGGAAAACTTTTAAGCATGGAAAACCGCGAGGCAATTGGAAAATTGTCATCTGCCAATAAGGAAAGTTAGGATTGTGTCTGGTTGGGATTCGATTGATTTGTCTTTGAGAATGGATCTTAAAGAAGTGCTAATTACGTGTGGAATATCAGTTTTCATTTGTGATTTCTGCTCATTAAAATGGATTAAATTTAACCCGAGGCGAATATGCAAAGATAATTGAGTTTAGCTTTGCTTAGCCAGCAATTTTTCACACTTTTCTAGCGAATGTCTGGAAATGTTTTAACCCTTTTGAAACGCTTTAACCGACACACTTGAATCACTTTACCACTCTGCTTAGTACGCTGGCACTTGTTGCAGTCACACCCTATCCGAGGTATACAGAGATGACCCGATCTCGCTGGTCTGGTTGGATCCTGACCGCTGCAACTGCTCCGATCGACTAAGCGTGCCGCTGGCTGTTGGCGCTTTTAAGTGACAACCTCATCCCCCTCGACACTCTGACGTCACGAGTCGTGAGCGAAAAATAAACGTAAGAAACCGAAAACACACAGATCCATAAACACAAAAGCAAAAGCAAAACTTGTTTTTGCAAAAACAAAAGCAAAAGCGAGCAAAGACCAACTCTGACCACAACTAGAGGCTAGCAGAAAGCGGAGAGAGGAAGAGAGAGAGAGAGAGAGAGAGAGAATATCCCGTTATAAAATGCGTGCAGCTCTCATAACCGGCACATTGACATTGGTCAGGGTTTCCATGATATGTTGCTTTGATAAGCCGTGATAAGATATAAACGAGTTTTTCCCTCTAATTGAATTGATTAGTATAACTTCTAGTATTTATTTCGCTTGATATGGCTTCGGCCCCGCCAATTTTAAGGCCAAGTCTAGAAGGTTATCAAATTTGCATATTTTTTTACATTTTCATTTATTAGATGTGAATGTAGAATGGAGACTGAATCTGTATTTCTGCTTCTGTTCATTTAGATGTTCAGATTACAACTAAGCAATGTTCTTGTTTAATAATAACAATTTCGAATGCTGTAGATCTCTACGTATACTCGTAAGATATTTGTCACTTGTCTAATTTCATCAAAATTCCAAATAAAAACCAGTAAAGTGATCTTATCAGAGTAGTTTCACCTCTTAGTTACAAGTCAAGCGAAAAATTACTGACAATCTAATCGCATCACCCAAGTAACCCCCCAAAGTGAACGATTTATAATCGGACTTATCAACAATTTGGAAACAGGAGACCCAGCTGACGGGGAGAGCCCTATAAAAACAGTCAACAAGCCCAAGTGGTCACAACACCTCAGACAAACCTCGAACCATGTTGTTCGCAAAGCACTCTGTAGTTGTGGCCCTGATCCTCGTCCAGCTGGTGGGCTTGATTCAAAGCGGATCCTACAACAATGAGGACACGTGGGTCTACATTTATCCGGCCATGGACTTTCCCAACAAGGCTGTAGTCGGAGGTCTCGATTCGGATGGTTACTACAACTATGTGGGCCGTTCAGTCTACAGCAGCAGCATCCTTCCTGCCCGAGTGGTTCCCGAGCTGAAAAAGGCCACCTACAACTCGGACACCGTCTCGTACCAGACCACCTCCCTTGAGGTGCTCGTGTCCAATTATACCGTCAGCTACCACTGGCAGCGCAGCTTTGACGGCTTCCTGGAGAAAAACGCCGTGTCCGTGGGAACCAATTCCAACAACGACAACGTCTACATCTGCCGCTTCCGGGCAGACCAGGGTCTCCTCATGGGCACTCTGTACCTGGCCAACCGTACCTGCATCGTGAAGTACGGCGAGATGCCACTGAGGAAGCAAGAAAAATACGAGATATTGGTTAGGGAACGCAAAGCTGCTGATTTTATGCCGTTTTGAGTGCAAAACGAAGCAGAAACAATTTAAATAAATTTGATTAAATGCAAATAAAATGACAAGTGACATGGATGGATGCCATGGATTTTCAAAAATATTATATTTAGTTTTAATTTTTATTTTAAATTTTATTAATTTTGTATATTTAAAATGTATGTACGTATGTATGTATGTAAATATTTACATACGCATGTACACATGTACATTTTAAATTTAATTATTGTATTTGTTATTTCTCTATTTAATTTAACATTTTAATAATTCCTCTTAAAACAGCTTTCGTGACCCACTCGTAGCGCTTGTAGACGATGCATCAGCTGTACTACAGCATGTGTACGTGTGCTGCTCACAATCCCATTTCAAACATCAATCACACTGCTGCAAAAAATATTAAACTGATCTGGATATTTGCGCTAAGTCATGTGCTTGGAGCTTTTAAGCATAATCTTTCTTACTCTGTTCTCAGTCTGATCAAAGCTTCATGCTAAATGCTGCAGAGTGTAAGCAATACGTGCATCTTACACACATCATATCATATCATATACATATGTACATACATACACACACATACATATGTGTCATACGTTTGCACTGCACTATTGTTCGGCCACAAACTTTCGCTCTCGTTTTTACCGGTTAGATAGGGACAGAATATAACTATAAGCTTTGAGTCGCATGCACTCTTATGGCAGCTGTCTCAGTTCCTCACCCGTTCCGTGTTCTGGCAGATTCCTGAGGCCACAAGGTTCTATGCTTGTGGTAAAACTAATTTTTGCTGCGGCTGTTTTTTTTTGCATGTCCTTTTCTTTTGGTTTGTTTTATCGAATTTACTTCTTATATATTTTTTTCCTACTCCTTTTTGCAGGCAGTTTTTAGGCGATTTGGCGCCCCTATGTGTTGTTTTCTTAGTGATAATACCTAAATTGCCTATTATTACTGGGCTCACTTAAGATTGTGAGCTACACTACAAAGATATAGCATATTTTATAACATCTAAATATATTCAAACAGAATATTTGTCTATTAATAAAAAAGACAGGGAGCACATACACACATATCTATGTACACATTTACATATATAAGTCCTACTTATTATTAAATCTTAGTATAATATAAAGTACTTACATTCAATTGAAAATCTTAAGATATTTATCTATGCACATCTCTGTTTTCCTGAATATTCCACTTAATTTGTTCATGATGAATCATGACATCTTCATAATATCTAATCAGAGAAAACTACTTCAAGTATTAATTATAAGTCCATCGAAAAATCACCAACTTTCTAATCAAATCACTGAAGTAACCCCCGAATGTGAATGATTTATAATCAGCTTTGTCGACAACTTGAAACCAGGAGCCCCAGCTGTTGGGGAGAGCCCTATAAGAACCTACAGCAGGTCTACATTTTCACAACACCTCAGAGAACAGTCGAACCATGCACACCGCAAAGCACTCCGTAGTTCTGGCCCTAGTCCTCGTCCAGCTGGTGGGCCTCATTCAAGGAGGATCCTACAGCTATGAAGACACGTGGGTCTACATGTATCCGTCCATGGATTTCCCCAACAACGCTGTACTCGGAGGCCTCGATTCGGATGGTTATTACAACTATGTTGGCCGTGTGCTGTACAGCAGCAATGTCCTTCCTGCCCGAGTGGTTCCCGAGCTGACGAAAGCAACCTACAACACGGACACCTATGGATACCAGAGCTCGTCCTTTGAGGTGCTAGTGGCCAACGCCACCGTCAGCTACCACTGGCAGCGCAGCTACGACGGCTTCCTGGAGAAAAATGCAGTATCTGTGGGAACCAATTCTGTCAACGACCGCGTTTATATCTGCCGCTTCCGGGCCGACGAAGGACTCCTCATGGGCACTCTCTACCTGGCCAACCGTTCCTGCATCGTGAAGTACGGCGAGATGCCACTGAGAAGGCACGACAAGTACGAGGTTTTGATTAGGGATCGAAAAGCTGCTGACTTTATGCCATTTGGTGTGTAAAACGATGCAGCGAGACTTTCAAATAAATTTGAATCAATGCAAATAAAATAAGAACTGCATTTATTTATTGAAAAAGAAAAAGAAAATATTCAATCATTTTTTGACATGCGTATCATAAAAAATTCAAATAAATATGTTTTTTATATTTTATATAATTTGTTTTAAAGAAAATCTTTTTCAATTATGTATATCTGTTTACTAATTGTGTTTCCACTCCTTTTGACGGCCATTAACTGGCGGAGAGGGGGAGAGAAGACTGGTCCACACTTCTGCACTCTTATCACAGCTTTCAGGATTTACCTCAGACATAGTATGTACTTATCATACAATATATGTACGTACAAATGTAGTATCTATGCATGTATGTATTGGGCCACAAACAAGTTTGCTCTCGTTTTTGTCAGTGAAATTGTGAGAGACATGCAAGCTAACGCTTGCACTCTAATCGCAGCTATCTCAGTTCCTACCCTTCCTGATTCTAAGCAGTCAATCAAGTCGTAAGCCTAATTATTATGTTCTTGCAAAAATATAATCAGAACAATCAATCGCTTAGGCATTCTTTTCGTTTGGCATTTTGCTTAGACCACGAGAACTTGTGCGGGAAACAGGAAATGAAGTGCAATGCTTAAGTTTAATATACATACATAATGAGTGTGTTTACTTACTGTACTGTACTGTACTTACTGTACTTTAAAAGGGAGCGTTCACAGTCATATATATTATAGTATTAACAACTTACATTTCATTGACAATCCTAAGATATTACATATACACCTCTGGTTTCGTGAGAATTCTACTTAAGTAATTCCTCCTGAAGCGTCACATCTTAAAAATAGCTTATCAGAAAGCCCTACTTCAACTATTAATTACAAATCCATCGAAAAAGCACCGATTATCTAATCATTTCGCCCAAGTAACCCCCGAATGTGAGTGATTTACAATCAACCTTATCGACAACTTGACCAGGAGCCACAGCTGGTGGGGAGAGCCCTATAAGAAGCTACAGCAGATTGTCACAAATCGTCACAACACCTCAGACAACAATCGAACGATGTACTCCGCAAAGCACTCCGTAGCTCTGGCTGTGATCCTCGTGCAGCTGGTGGTCCTCATTCAAGGCGGAACCTACAGCCATGAGGACACTTGGCTCTACATGTCTGCAGCCTTGGACTTTCCCGAAAACAGTGTCCTAGGAGGTCTCGATCCCCAAGGTTACTACAACTATGTGGGCCGTGTGGTGTACAGCACCAACATCCTACCTGCCCGAGTGGTTTCCGAGCTGAGAAAAGCTTCCTACAACACGGACACTATTGGCAATACCGCCACCTCCTTTGAGGTGCTCGTGTCCAATGCCACCGTCAGCTACCACTGGAAGCGCAGCTACGACGGCTACGGGGAGAAAAATGCCGTTGCAGTGGGAACCAACGCTTACGGCGACCGCGTCTACATCTGCCGCTTCCGGGCCGACGAAGGACTCTTCATTGGCACCCTCTACCTGGCCAAGCGTGTCTGCATCGTGAAGTACGGCGAGAATCCATTGAGGAAGTTCGACAAGTACGAGATTTTGGTGAGGGAGCGACATGTAGTCAATACTATGCCATTTGGCGGCTAAATCCTAGCATGATGAGCTGCAAAACAATTAGAGCATATCAAATAAAATATTTATTTACAAATAATTAAACACTTTATTTATGATCATCAAAATTATGGAAAGATGTTGGAATTGCAATCCAGCTCGCTCTTCAAGAAATTTGTTTGGTACCAGTGGGTATGACTCTTCCACTCTATTTAGTTGTACCAATTTAGTTCGTATTTAAATGAACTATCAACTATAATAACTAAAATGGTTTTGGGTTTTGTTCTATAATTAATAATTAATTAATTAAATTAATGAAGTTCTGAATGCGTACTGCTGATACGTTTACTTTGTTGTAGGAAATGAGAGGCAACACTTTGAAGAATATTCTTCTAATTAACATTGTCATGTTTAATTGGCAGTGAACCCTTGTTCATTGGTTGTGGCTTTTACACTCAAAGAAAAAGGGTAAATAAAGAGAATGAATTTTGATTTGAACATACATATAACTATTTAGTGCAAAAATAAAACACTTCAAACAAAAAATAAAATAAAGCTGACTACGGAAAAGGTATGATAGTATCAGTTATTTAAAAAGAGAAAGGGACTTGTGGTTGATATTATTAGGAGGAGGGAATTATAATCCGAGTAAAAGGCCCCAAACGGATCAAGCAAAGCATAATTCGATCTACTAAGTGGAAGGAACAGAGGAATAATGTTTCTAGTGGAACTAATGGGAATAGTAAAGTTTATGCGGTTCAACAAAAACACTTTATTTTTACGGTTTCCACACTTGGAGCAAGTTGGCTTACATTTTAATTCGAAGTCTATTTGTTTATTCTATTCTTTTGGGTTACAACTTTTACTTGGAAACTAAATCAAATAACAAATATTCGCAAGCTATGATCTTTGGAGCCTGGTAATAGTTATATTCTATATCAAAATGAGATCTTTAAATTTACTGACCAGCTAATAAACTGTGTATTTAAATCGTTAAAGTTACAACTTTGACTATGAAAATAAAGTAAATTAAAAATATTCGTAACATATGATCTTTGGAGCCTGTTAATCACTGAATCAATTTACTACGAAATCGATTATTTAATAAACTAATATTAGGAAATGCTACTTCTATCTAGTGGGGGATTTTTACTTCAGAAATGTCTTGTATTTTTTATGGTGCAATAAAATCACGATGCGCAAACTCACTCTCAAGCATGTTACTCACCGAATCGAAACGATCCTATCAACAGTAATCATCTGATAGCGATAGGGGTAACAAGAGTCCGGCGATAAGGAGGCGACTATAAAAGAAGTGTGCCCGGCCAGACGATTCACATTCATTTGGTATCAAAGAATCCCTCGAGATGTACAAAGTTGCCTGTATAGTTTTTGCCCTGTTCGCAGTCGCCTCGGCAGTGCCCTCAGCCTTTGGTAAGTAAACCATGGATCCTGGATATCATTGGATGCTAATTTTGCACTATTCCAGATACGGAGCACGTATGGAAGGCCGGTAACCTGTCGTACCCTTTCCCCGGTAACGCCATTCTGGGAGGATTTGATCCTTACGGCTACAACATCTATATTGGCCGCGTCAAGTACAGCAACACGATCCTGCCAGCCCGCGTGGTTGCGGAGACGGGTGTCGCCTACTTCAACAACCAGCTGACGTCCTCCAAGGCGACATCATACGATCTCCTGGTGGCAGGGCGCAACGTGAACTACCTGTGGGTGCGCAGCTTCGACGGCTTATACGAGCGGTACGCCGTTTCCGTGGGCACTTCGGTCTACAACGAGCGCGTGTTCATGTGCCGGGCCAAGACCGACGGTGGCCTGCTCATCGGCAGCCTCTTCCTCAGCGAGAAGCTGTGCATCATCAAGCACGAGACCCTGGCACTGCGCAAGTTCGACAAGTACGAGGTGCTCGTGGGCCAGCCCAAGAATGGAACCGTCTTTTAATCAAAGCGAATCTGTGAACAAAACTAAAGTATATTTAAAAAAAAACAAAGTCCCATTTCTAATATAAAAAAAAGTATTTACATACATATATTTTGTTGTCTAATTTATGACTGGGATAACAATAACATTGATAACGAGTAACTCCGAAAATACTACTGGGAAAAGATAATCATAGAAGCGAGCAGATCTATGATCTTATCGGTACCTTCTTGGAACGTTTTCTAGTAGCCAGACAAATAAGAAAAAGGTTTTCTATGACCCACCAAATCCTTTCAAGCACTTGTTAAAGTCATACATGATAGACTGTGATTAGTTTTTAATGATCTTTCGATCGATTTATGTCTTGTGTATGCATATGTTGACGGGGGTTTTGCAGCTATCACAGTTCACGGAAGCGATGGGCCCATCGATAAGATAGGCACATAATCTAAATGATTACCATCTAGACATTACTCAGAACCATTAATGGTTCCAACTAATCATTTAGTTGGACCTTTCGGGTCCAAATGTTCGACTGTTTGTTGCAAAAGAAAAGTTATGTTTCTGTTTCAAAGTTTCGACATTTCTTATCGGAGTTGGGATTGGTTTTCGGGAGCATACTTTCGGGCCAGATGTCTGCGGAAATGTGTGGGAAATGTCTAGTTTACCCAACTTAAAATATCCACCAAAAGCATACAAATACTATCAGAATAGAGCTTAGTCGTCCTGCCCCCGAGGCCTGTTCGTCCTGCCACCAGGTCCACTCGTTGTGGTAAAAGCGCGGATCGCATTGCGGATCCTCGGGCTTATTGTTCGGAGCATGCGCCTGTCGGGCGAACTGCTCGATGCGTTGCAGCAAGTCCAGGAGGATGGTAGAGTTACGGTACTCCTCGTACAGGTTGTTGCGCTCGCAGGGATCCGCATCGATGTCGAAGAGACAGGGGGCCAGCAGCGGCAGACACGGCTTGGTCGCGGCGGAGGACTCCGGACACTCGATCTGTGCCTGCTGCCGGAGACTGCTGATGTTGCGCTCACTCTGGCTCCCCATCAGCAGTTGGAGGTGCTGCCAGACGCTGGTGTTGCGGATCAGCTCCTCATAGTTGGCCGATCGTGGATCCACCTCTTGTGTTAACCGCTCGCCCAGCCAGCCATCGAAGAGGGCCGCGTTGGTGGTGCCATTCACAACCTTCCACTTGCCGCGTGTGTAGGACAGATAGGGTGACGCTGGATTCGTGTCAATGGTGTGGACAATCTCTCGCTCCAACGACTCGTAGCCATACTTCAGGGCCGGCCAGAGATTCATCCCGTCCAAGTGCAGGTCTGGATCTGGTGTTATGCCCGCCGCAGCGGCGAGTGTCGGCAGTAGATCGCCAATGTAGGTCTGCTGCTTCCACACGGTGCCCAGTCGCTCGAACTCAGTGCTCCATATGGCCGCAGAGGATCTCAGACCTCCCTCCCAGGGAGAGTTCTTTTGCTGTGGAACTAGATGATCAAGAGAATATCTAACTGATTGTCTTTGTGATACTTACGCCTCGCAGGGGATAGTTCGAGGCCGTCGTCGAGTGCTCTCCCACAGTGGGTCCGCCGTTGTCCGACAGGAAGAGGACAATGCTGTCCTGCAGCATCTGCTGGCGGGCTAGGGCATCGATGACTTGCCCCACACTCCTGTCCAGCCGTGAGACCATGGCGGCGTAGTAGCGATGGGTCTCGTTTCGGATGTACTCGAACTTGGCCAGCTCCTCGGCGGGGGCCTGCATGGGATCGTCGTCGTTGGCCGCATGCGGAGCCAGGTGACTGAGGAGCAGGAAGAGCGGCTGGCTGCTGTTCCTGCTGCTGTGCTGCTCAATCAGCTGGACGGCTGCGTCGCTGAGCACGTCGGTCACGTAGTGCCCCACCTGGTCGTGGGTGACGTTCAGATTCAGGCGGAAATCATGCCCTCTCGTGTAGTTCTTTCCCTGCAAAGAAACCAAAGAGGTGAAGCGCCTTTGGCATGCACCTTTCCTGGCCCATCTCTCACATTCTGCTGGTAGGTCTGGTCGTAGTAGTCCACATATGCACCCAAGTAGCCCAGATGATGGTCGAAGCCACGCTGCGTGGGCGTAAAATTGCGCTGTGACATGCCCAGATGCCACTTGCCCAGGAGACTGGTGTAGTAGCCGTTCTCCCGGAAGATCTCCGCCATTGTCTTCTCCTTTTGTGGCAGACCCCAAGGCTGATCATTCACGATCACATAGTGCTGCATGCCTGGAAATGGATTTGTCATTGGTCTGAGCTTGGATTTATTGGCAATGGGCAATTACCTGTATTAATGGGATATTTCCCAGTGAGAAGAGCAGACCTGCTCGGCGTGCACATGGAGGCGGTGTACAGATTGTTGAGAATCACGCCGCTATATGCCAAGGCATCGATATTGGGCGTGAGAAAGTTATTGGAGCCACGAAAGCTTACATCGTCAAAGCCCTGGCCGGGTAGAACTATAATTAGCAGAGATTCAAATAATCCCACTAGACACTCACCAAATCATCAGCCATTATGATGATGACGTGCGGTTTACCGGGGGATCTCGCATCTTGGCCATTAGTTAAGGCAACGGCTAATCCGGCAGCTAACAGCAAAATTATCGACACATTTCTATGGCTATTTCCCCTGTGCTTCAGATCAGTTGACATCCCCATGGCGCCATAAATGGAACTGAAAACAGAAACTGAAATTAGCTCAAAAAAGTCATTTAAAAAAATTAGCATAGTGAATGGCGACAAGTCGGTTTGGGACACTATGCCAATGATGGATGAGTTTTCCTGTTCGTTCCGGATATGTTAACCGTTTAATACAATCCGTCCGACTCATCTACCCATTGCCAAAAACACACCTGGCCCAATACTCTCATTGTATTATTTTTATGGGGGGTTTTTCTCGTTAGCTTTTAGGCTTAAACTCTTTCTTTGCCGATTCGTCAATTGAGAAATAAATTGAATGGAAAATAATGGAAGTAAACAAATATTAGCCATCAAATTGGCACACTGCACTTGTGCAAATATTTCCAGCCACATACGATACTCGTACTCGTATTGTTTAACAAACTGTGACAAATTAAAATGCGGACAAATTACACGCCTAATGAGTGCCACCGAAATTAAATGCAAATGTGATGGAGCTGGGAATGAGAGTTGCCCAAATGCTATACAAAATATGTCCGTACATACTCTATAGATTATAAATGTATGTACAATCTGTACAAACAAGCACACATACTTATGTACACATAAAGAATATACGAGAATTTTTAAAATAACTATTGTAGAATGATCTTTATTTTTTTTACATACATATGTACGTATGTACATACATATATGTATATTTTCTCTATTTTTCATTGACAAGACTGCCCCCTAGAATTATTTGCACACAATACATTTAAGTATATAGAGAACAATCCAAAAATATAATATAAACACACATACTCGTAGATATGCTTTTGCATGAACTGCTCTAGGTCTGTTCTTTGATTGATTGAATTGGCCTGACCACTCTATAAAGCTGGCCATTTAATTTCAAAGCTTTTAATGCCGAAATCCCTTTATTGAAAACACCTCAATCTCGTTTTTCCCACACTTTTACCGTTCTTCTTCTACTACAGCACCGGACAGACAGGCGAAACAGCAGCGAACGAGAACACAACAAACGCGAAAACACAATGGGCTTATCAGACAGATTCGTGCACGCTAATTCCAACCACGATTAGCTGAGCACCGCGTTCGAGCTGGGTGTGGATCTCTCTGTTGTGCTGGTGGAAAGTTAACGGAATAAATTCGCGGGGCCAGTCGATCTTGCGCTCAACGTTGTGGTGGGTTTGGACAGCAGCCGACTGCTGAGGTGAAAAAGTGAGCATTCACTAGCTCTCTCTCTCTCTCTCTCTCTTTGTAGCTGTCGTAGAGTCCCACCTTGTCTGAACGCACCTTTTGTTGGGGTGAATATTTGAATTTCTATCTTGGTGGGCCAGCTGTAAAAGCTCTCCAATTTAATTAAAATAATAAATATTTCCGTTACTGTGTTTTACTAATTTGTAATTCTTTTAAAAACATTTTTTTATTCACTGTAAGCGATGTTTCGGTAATTTCAAAACATTTAAAACTGAATTTAATTAATAATTAATAATGTAATTATATCTAAATTAATTTGTATCAATAAGTTATCCTACGCCAAATGAAGAAACTGTTAGTGATTCATTCATTTAGCGATTCGTTGCTCTTATTGATTAACATGCGAATCGGTGACGTTAATTATAAATAAATTATCAATTTCTCTTTTATATGCGTGGCGTGGAAATTTATTTTTATATTTCTCAGAAATAATATACCCCACAATGCGTTCAGATACGATGTTCCCTCAAAATATAATTGAATAATAGCATTTAGAAACATCATGTTCATAGTTTCTTACATTTTGCATTTCTGTTTTTATACCTGATACAACCTACCCGTAAACACAATATACCCTTGCTGCCGGGCAAGCACCAGGTAAATTTATCGGCAAAGAACCTAATACCCAGAGCTGAAATAGTTCGCATGTTTGGATATGTTTTTTATCAGACAATGAGAGGCACATGGCCTTATTCTTAGAAACTCTGTTAAGGGAAAGAGGCTACGGAACAGGGCTGATGCAATAGAAAATGCCTTTAAATAAGCTCTAAAAGACTTTCAGAGAGCGGGAGAAAGAACGAGAGAGTGAGGGAGAGCTGGATATGTTTCCACCTCTCCGCGGTGGAATTGGGGTTGTCAGCCACTTGCATAGGGCCTCAATTCTGGGCAAGCACATGGGCGAAACGAAGACGTTGGCAACCCAGTTGCTCTCTCGTTTCGACCAACAATAGCGGCCAGAGAGAACGAGCAGCTGCAACGTGGTTCTGTGGTTGCGTGGTTCAAAATGTGATTTCTGTGGATAGTGCCGGGCGGCAGTACTATTTTAGAGACCAGCAGTGCCACAGCCGCTTCCATGTGAGGAAAGCAAGCGCGAATTTGCCACAAATTGATGATATTAATTGGAAACCAAATTGATTGAATTGAATCGAGTAGCAACAATGGAGGAGTTCGCCGAATACTATGGGTGAGTGGATGTCGGCAGAGCCACCATGCAACAAGTGTCTAAAATTAGAGATAAATGCAATCAAATACGGCGTGTATTTTTAGCAACAGTTGACACCCACCTGAGCCACACGACCCCCTGAGCGCGTAGTCCCGTGCTAGCAGGCAGAATTATCTATAAACAATACAAATATCCAAGTAGCGCCACGCCAATGGAAAACTCAAACAGAACCCAATTAGTAGCGTTCCATGAAAGCAAAGCAAGTGAATGTATTGAGTTGTGTGGAGCAGAGAGCTTCCCTGCCAAAAATGATTGAATAAGCACAAACTGAATATGATTCATAAATAATTTGAGTCCATTGGGTATAATAACAAATTCGAACTGTGTACAAGAGGCAAGGTTTCATGTTGTACACTTATCTCTGGAAGGGGTTGGGGATATCAGTTGATCTTACCCAGAAATATTAGACAAAAATAATTTATGAAATATTTGTTTAAAAGATCTCAAAATACTCTTATCGAAATGGTTAACCTGGGTACAAAAATATTGATCATATTGTTAGCTTTTTCCGGTATTCCCTGCATTCAAATAGTGCGCCATAATCAAAAGTCCTATACCTAAACCGCTAATCGATTATGACAATTCATTAGGGCTTTGGGGCCGCAAAGGTCATGTTAAGTCACCTGGCAAACTTGAGAATTCTCAGTGGGGTAGGGTAGGGTAGGCAGGGAGGATTCCTCTACGAGCATGATGACGAATTAATTAGCGTTATCATCACAAACGATGTGTTTCCACCTCGTTTCATTTCGCCTCTACTTCGTGCCCGACCTGAGGATTCCGCCCGTGGTTAATTGCGGCAAGCTTCTGTCTCGAGCCCGCTCAACTCACCACGATCTTCCCGAGCCGTACACCCAAATGTGCTATTTAACGGTTTCGCACTCATGTTAAATGTTCAGACGCAGCTCGAACGGTCACTGGCGCTATTCGAATCAATTCTGAAATTCAATTAGAAATTAGTTTGACAGTATCTACATACTCTCGCCATTCGATTCCGTGTCTGTGAATCGAAAAATTAAAGATGGATTATTATTTGTGATACTTTATTGAACATTAATTAGTTGTGGAAAACTTGTGATACGATTAAAGAGCCAAGCAGATTGCTTTCGTTGATAATATCCAAAGGATTTTGATTACTTCTCAAAGAAAAAAGGTGAGAGCATTTTGGAAATGCAATTCCTGCTGATCAGTAACCGTTTTGGGCATTTAATTCAAGGCGTTTAAAAGAGTTTATTAAGAACACTTTAAAGCAAGCACTTTAGATTTTTAGGAATTTATAGTCAAAAATTCTTTCACAACCAAAAGTTTCTTAAGGAGAATTAGGGAGAGTTCGACATTTAAACATCTCCATAAGCTACATTAAAAAAACGGCTGATGGAATGACTGAACTAGTCTAGTCAATCTGGAGGGTGAAGGAAAAGAGACTTCCCACTTAGTCATCGGGGGATCATTCCCAAAGCCGATGATCACAAGACTCGAGTTTAAATCAGCTTTCGCGACGCGACCCAATCATAAACAATGTAGTCTACATTCGCACATTAACAGACGCCTACTAATTTTCTTATGGCCGGCCATAAACCAAAACTCCGCACATTTCTTTTGCCCCGATCGAAGCGTGGCCCATCACAGGCACTTTCCACCGCCACCGCCACCGACACCCCCATTGCGACCCGTACAAAATCTGCGAACGTGTTAATATGTCGGTTCTGTAAGCATCGGTTACGGGTGTATTTTTTGTGGAGCTCAGCAAAAGCCCTTCAGACTGAATAGAACTCGACGAACGGCCCGTTGTTACATACGAGTATTTACTTGATTTGATTAAATTTTTCAGCATGCCGAGCTGGAGCGTGACGAATGCCTTTCGCGTACTCACACGCAAGAAGCCGCTGGAGGACTCGAATGAATCGAAACTTGCCAAGGTCTTGTCAGCTTTTGATCTCACGGCCCTCGGTATTGGGTCAACGCTGGGCGTGGGTGTCTATGTCCTGGCGGGCGAAGTGTCCAAGCAGGTTGCCGGCCCCGCAGTGGTCATCAGCTTTCTGATTGCTGCGATCGCCTCGATATTCGCTGGCCTCTGCTATGCGGAGTTCGGAGCCCGTGTTCCCAAGGCGGGCTCTGCCTACATCTACAGCTATGTGACCATTGGAGAGTTCATCGCGTTCCTCATTGGATGGAATCTCATACTCGAATACGCAATTGGTAAGCTGGCGGCAACTCAATTGATGGCGCCGCCGTCTGATTGACATTATTTTTATCAATTAATTCACACATTTTTCATATTGATTTCCGTTTCAATCTTTTCGTTTTTCGGGCAGGTTCCGCCAGTGTCGTCAAAGGGCTAAGCACGTATCTGGACCAGCTGTGTGGGAACCCGATGAGCAGCTTTCTGGGCACCCATTTGCCCATTAATATCCAGGGCATGGGCGCCTACCCCGACCTGTTCGCCTTTGTGGTCACCATACTGTTCTCGCTGGCCATTGCCGTGGGCGCCAAGGAGTCGACGAGGGTGAACAATGTCTTCACCATTCTGAACTTGGGCGTAGTTCTCTTTGTGATCATCGCAGGTCTCTTCCATGGTGAGTGATAGTCACGCAAATGCTTTGGTTACCCTTTGGTCTGATTCCGTTGATAGTTTCCAGGAGCAACTGGTCCATTCCGAAATCTTCTGTGCCCGAGGGTTATGGCGATGGTGGCTTCATGCCATACGGCGTCTCGGGCATTATTAAGGGGGCCGCAGTCTGCTTTTACGGCTTCATTGGCTTCGATTGCATCGCCACCGCGGGCGAGGAGGCCAAGAATCCGAAGAAATCCATTCCATTTGCTGTAATTGTGTCCCTGGCCATGATATTCCTCGCCTACTTTGGCGTTTCCTCGGTGCTAACTATGATGCTGCCCTACTACGAGCAGGATGAGAAGGCCCCACTGCCCCACGTCTTCAGGATCAATGGCTGGCATGTGGCCGAGTATGTGGTCAGCATTGGCGCAATGTTTGGCCTGTGCTCCAGTATGATGGGTGCCATGTTCCCACTGCCACGCATTGTCTTCGCCATGTCCAACGACGGACTGCTGTTCCGGTTCTTGGGCGACATTAGCGAAAAGTACAAGACTCCGTTCAAAGGAACCATGATTACCGGCCTGTTGACTGGCATTCTGGCCGCCGTCTTCAATCTCAGCCAGCTGGTGAACATGATGTCGATTGGCACCCTGCTGGCCTACTCCATGGTGGCTAGCTGTGTCCTGATGCTGCGTTACGAAGTGGACGATCGTCGCATCGTTGGCAATGGTCGCGCGATATCTTCCGCTGACCACGATCAACCCTGTGGCCTCTGGCGACGTCTCTTCAATTCCAAAGGCTTGACCGTATCCACCAAGCAAACGTCGAGGATTGTCACCGTGATGGTGACTCTATTCTGTAAGTAAAACGGTGTCATTTCCAAAAGCAAACGTAAAACATTCCCCTCTTTCAGCTCTTTGGTGCTTTGTCTTCTCGCAAATTCTTACCAAATTCGAAGAGGATCTGGCAAATGTCACCCATTCCGATGGCATTGCCTTGGTGTTGGGGGCCATACCTTTGGTGGTCATGCTAGTGATTATCTCGCGTCAGCCGACATCCGCTGTGAAACTCTCCTTCACGGTACCCTTGGTGCCGTGGCTCCC